ATTTGAAACACAGATCAGTAGATGTTATGCACTAGAGTCGTGTTATTAAAATTGGTGGTAAGAATTGATCTTGCAATAAATCAATGTATGAAGAGTATCACTCAATGGCTCAAAAAAAAAGAATAAAAAAAATTGTTTCTAAACAAGGGCATTACCTGTAAATGCAGCATATATTTCATAGGGCCTATCTATGGCTGTAGGCACATAAAAATTATTTCTTTGGGATAAAAATTTGTGTGTTTGTGCATGCAATTGTTTCCCATATATATAGGCATGAATATATGAGCCTCTCAATTTGGGAATACATTGCTAATAAGAATATTAAAGATTATTAGAATTTAAGAAACATTTAACTTGTAATAATAGAGTAGAATGAAATAGAAATCAGCCGAGCTCGAGCTTGTTTACTTAACGAGTCGAGCTCGTCTCGGCTAATTAATGTTCAAAAATATTTTTTTTTATTTAATTATCTATATAGCTCAACTAACTCAAGCTCGAGCTCGGCTCAATAATATTGATAAAGAAGTCAATCTCAGCTCGGATCGGCTCATTAATGCTAAAAAATGGATTTCTTTTATTTAATATTCTATAACTCGACTAGTTAAGGCTCGAAATCGACTCAATAATATTGATAAACAAGTCAAACTCGACTTGGCTCAGCTGAGCTTGATAAAGGCTCGGGCTCGAGTATTCGGAGTTTCATCTCAACTCGTTTCATTTAGAACTTTACACCACTCACAGCCTAAATTCCTAAATTTCTAGGACAAGTTAAAATTGCGTAAACCAAACATAATTATGGTTTGGATTAATTCAGTGGCAAGACATCAAACAATGAAACCCCAAAAGAAAGCAGGAAGGCTCATGCCCACAACAAAGAAATTATTACAAAATACAGCAGTTAAAAATCATGTTTAATTAAGATATTCAGGCACAGGATAATAAACAAGAACAAAATAAATAAATAAATAAATAAAAAGTGAGACAGAAAAGAAAATACAACCAATGTCTTCATACTCTGTTATCTCAAGCTCCCCGTCTTTCTATACACACTAGAAAGAAGATACCAAATCAATACTAACTCAACACCAAACACTTACAAAAAAAACAACATAAAAGCCTACATTTTCTACAATCCCAAAGAAAAAAAAATAAATAAAAAAAATCACAATAATATGNTCCAAAAAAAAAAAAAAGTAATATCACAAGAAAGATATCAAGCTTCTTCTCAAACTATACGTTCTAGTCGAGTACCGAGGTGTGAAATTAAGCCCGAACATTTCTTTATTGTGAGTTTGATCGGGCTCAACAGTGCCGAACAGCTTTGCAACAAGATATGCACTGTCCGAAATGTGGTCAATATCGTCTGTTTTGGTCCACAAGCGGTGGGCCAATTGTAGCCTCCTTAGCTTAGTGTTCAAGCCAATGCCCCACTTGAGAAAGAGGCTTTCTCTTTCTTGCTCCGAGAGCTTCCTCAACATTCGCTGACTCAGCATTCGTCTCTCCTCACGAAGGGACTTCTCACTGTTTGTTACAACAAATATTGTTAGGACAAAAAATAAGGAAATTTTGTACAAATCTTTTTTTACCAAAAGAACAGTTCTTTTACATATATTTAAAAACTTTAGTTTAAAGAGTAGAACATAAATAGATCGACGACAGTTTCAGATAAGTTCTTGTGAAGTTTAATATTAAATTATTTACATGCATACAACACCATGGAGAAAAAAA